GCTTTAAATATGAACAAATTAAACGCACCAACCAAAAGACACAAACTGGCTGGTGGATGAAAACATGTACATGTATGTACTTCCACTTACCACATCACTGTGCCTGATGCCACATTGTATGTAATTATTTTATATTGTTAGGTTAATCACGTTCCCATTATGGTTTTAAATTATAATTATCTTTTATTTTTTATCTGTAATTATCCTTTATCTTTTGTGAAAAACATTTTTCACTAATGTGATTACGTAACAATTACTCACTTAACACCATTGTATTGGGCTTTCCAGGTGGCATTAGTCATGAACAACCCACTTGCCAATGCAGAAGACATAAGAGACACAGGTCCAATCCCTGGGTCAGAAAGATCCCCTGGAGGAAGGCATGGCAACCCACTCCAGTATTCTTGTCTGGAGAACCCCATGGACAGAGCAGCCTGGCAGGCTATGGTCCACAGGGTCACAAACAGTTGGAAACGACTGAAGCAACTTGGCACCATTGTATCATGATCGGGCAACAGAAAAATACTACAATTCTGTATCACCAAAATTAACAGTTAATAAAAAACCTTTCATCACTTTTTTAATCCAGATGCATATCAGAATTACCTTGAAATTTTTTGAAAAATATAAACATCCAGGTATTCTTTTTTTCCTCCAAAGTTCCAAATATGTTTCTAATGAGCAGCCATGTCTAAAATCAACTCGACTATATGATGATCTTTTACTTTTATCTAGTTTGTTTTACTTTTACTATTTCATATTCAGTGCTATTTCATTTAGTTTATATTTTCCAATTTCTCCATCCCTTTTTTTGGATGTTCTTTCTCAAGCCTTTATCAAGTGTAGTGGAAAAGCTTTTGTATTATATATATATAGTATGTATATAGCATGTGTGTATATATATATATATATATAGTATGTATATAGTATGTGTGTGTATATATATATATAGTATGTATAACATATATATTTTAGAAAACTTGTGAAATTTTGCCAAACTAAAAAATTTATGACATTTTGATTCCACTTATTTCATTTAGTAAGAATAAAATGCTAGATTTCTAGTTAAAAAGATACGTAACAAGCAACAGAGGTTTACAAAGGTATAGCACTTAGAACTATAGTCAATACCTTATAATAAACTAGATTGGAAAATAATCTGAAAAATAATATATGCATATGTATAACTGAATCACCTTGTGGTACCCCTGAAACCATATAGCTATAAGTCAACTATACTTCAATAAACTATATATACTAAAAAAATAACTTCAATCATCCAGCTGTACACTTCAAAGAAACATCACAGCATAAATCAACTATACTTCAATATAAACAGAAACACACAGATTTAGAAAACAAACTATCCTAAATGAAACAGAAAGACTGAAGCAAGGATGTATTGGAGTTTCAAATAAACACATACCCACTCATACAAATAAAACAGATAATCAACAAGGGCCTATTGTAAAGCACAGGGAGCCAGAGTCAACACAGTAATAACTTACATGAAAAAAGCATCTGAAAACAAGTACAGGCATATCTACATTAAACTCAAGCATCCAGTTCTACACTTCAAACAAACACCACATGTATGTCAACTATACTCAAATATGACCTAAAAAGTAATTTAAAAAGAAAATGAAATGCCTACTCTATTCCCCTCAAGCTTCAGGTGCCCAGGCTGTTTCACATTTCTGGAGCCTGAGCTGCCTTGGTTCCCAAGTTTGGACTATCACGGGGCTGAGGGAGCTGCTGAAGCATGTGCCAGCAAATGACACTACAGGACCCTTGGACTTGTAGTCACCCAGTCCCCAGTGAACAGGATGACAAGGTCAGGAACAAGGCAGGACTACTCATAGCTAAACCTAGGCAAGTACACTCAAGGATGGTGGGATGGTGGACCCTCAAGACCCAAACCTGTGAAGGAGGTGTCTGGTCTGCAGGTCTCCTGCTACTGAGGTTCCCACCTCCACCCTCCTTCCTTAGGGTCACCCTAACTTTGGAACACAGCACACCAGCAAGCTTTTGCAGGTTTGGGATGTCCAATGGGGTGAATAATAAGGTGGAGGATGTAATGGGACACCAGGCCTTGGCTGTTTGTTCTGCCACATGGGGCTCTCATTTATAAGTCAGAAGCAGCACTTTCACCAAGGCTATGTTTATCCTAGCAAGCCCTGTGGAGCCTGAGGCAATCCTGCCTCCTTGTGGTCGCTTCTTGAAACTACAATGGGAAAACCACTGCCTAAGGGCACTTCACTTTCAAAAGATACCTGCCCTCGACAAATGTCCTAGGGTATGTAACTGAGAGAGAATTCACTAAAGTCAGCGTTTCAGGAAGCCACCTCGTAGAAGTAAACTTCACTCATAGTGATTTAAGAAAAGCAGCACAAGGAAAGATGCTAAACATTGGTTATAGTAGTGAAATTTATCACAGCACAATGAGGTTTCACTTGGCTGCAAAAAGAACGCCCATCATTAAAAATCTAAAAACATAAATCAGTGGAAAAAAATTAGAGAAATGGAATCCTGCTAAGCTGTTGCCTGGACTTTAAAGTGGTAACTGCCACTATGGAGATGACGGCGGTTCCTTCAGAAAGTAAAAATAGAGCTATTATACGAACTAGAAATCCCACTCCTTGCCCTACATCCAGAGAAATCCATACTTGGAACAGAAACACACACTCTGACCAGTAGCTTGGATATGGAAGTAATTAAAATATCCACAGACAGATGGGTCAAGAAGATGTGGTATATTTTATGGAAGGGAATATTACTCAGCCAGAGAACAGAAGGAAGACATGGAATGGCATCTGCAGCAGCATAAATGGACTTGGAAATGATCATATGAAGTCAGTCATAGACAGAAAGACAAATACACTAAGATGTGACTGATTGGTGGAATCTAAAAACTGAGAGCAATGAAGTACATTTTTCCAAACAGAAACACAATTACAGATTTAGAAAACAAACTTATTCTAACCAAAGGAGAAAGGCAGAAGGCAGGGATCCATTAGGAGGCTGGAATTAACACATACCCACTGACAGAAATGAAACAGGTAGCAATACATGCTAACCAATAGCACAGGGACTTCGACTTGACACAGTAATAACCTACATGGGAAAATAACCCCAAACACACAGGTATGTCTACATATAACTGGATCAAGTGACTAAACACTTAAACACAGCAGTGCAAATCAGCTATAATCCAATAGAATCTAAAAATTAAAAGGAAAAAAAAAGAAGAAAGCCGACTATATTCCTCTCTGGCTTCAGGTTCCTAGGCTGGTTTGCATTCCTGAAGCCAGGCAGCCTTGGTCCCCAAATGTGGACTGTTAAGGGGCTGCTGGAGCTGGGAAGGAGGTGCCAGCAAATGAGCTCCCCTTGGACCTGCGGTGCCTGGTCCCCTCTGGGTGGAACCACAGAGTCCAGAGCCAGGTCAGACCTCCCACAGCCAAACCAAACATACTTCACCCAAAGCACAGTGAACCCTCTGGGCTGGTAGGGCTCTTAGAACACATCTGTTCTCCTAGACTCCTGGTGGTCGGGTTTCCACCCCCAGCATTCCTACTTAGGATCCTCCCATTTAACAGAAGACAGTGCCCTCCACAGAGCTCTTGTAGAGGCTGGGCTTTATCTGGGTGATGAAGGGTAACAGAGAGAATTAGACACAAGGGCTTGGTTGTTTTCCTGGCACATGCCTCTCTTGTTTACAACTGTGGAAGATGTTTATCAGGAAGGCTTTGCTGCCCCAGTAAATGGAGTTGAGCATGAAGAACTTCTGACATGTTGTGGTCATTTCCCATATCTATAGCTTGAAAACTAATGCTTATAGGCATATTATATTCCCAAGGCCTTTAGGGCTATAAATGATATCTGCCCTGAACAAATGGTGTGGTAATTGAAGGAGAATTCATAAAAGGGTAGACTTTCAAGAAGCCAATGCAAAGAGGTAAATTTTCCACACAGTTTTACAGAAAAAAGCACATGAAGAGATGTTCAACATCACTTATTAGTACTGAAATGCAAATCTAAACTACAAGTAGGTGTTACCTTGCACCAGCCAGAATGACCATTATCAACAAGTCTATACTGAATACATGCTGGGTAGGACATGGAGCAAAGGGAACCCTCTCAGGCTGTTACTGGAACTTAAATTGGTAACAACCACTATGAAGAACAGTATGGAGGTTCCTTAAGTAACTGAAAAAAAAAAGCTACCAAATGATCACACAATCCCACTCATGGGCCTATGCCCAGAGAAAACCATAAATTGAAAAGAGACATGTACCTAACCTTCACTGCAGCTGTATTTACAACAGTCAGGATGTGCAAGCAACCAAAATGTCCACTGACAGGCGGATAAAAAAGATGTGGTAGATATATACAATGGACTATTACTCAGCCATAAGAAAAGAATGAATGTCAACTGCAGCAATACGGATGGACCTGGAGATGATCATACTAAGAGAAGTACATCAGATAGAGAAACACAAACCGTGTACATCACGGAGAGATGGAAACTAACATTTATACAAATACACTATTTTCCAAACAGAAACACACCCACAGACTTAGAAAACAAACTTATGGCAACCAAAGGGGAATGGTAAGGGGGAGGGATAAATCAGGAGGTTGGGATTGCCAGCACCGTCACTCAAACTCTCCTTTTATCACAACAGTCCTGTATCTGGTGCAGTCAACACTAGCTCCTTCTGTAAAGAGGAAACTGATTTTCATAAAACCAACTGAATATCATTCTTTTGATATGAGAAACAACAGACCATTTTCATAAGTTAATTTTGAAATTCAGTGTTAGGATATAAAAATAATATACTTTCTTGGGCCCGTGAATGGTTTTTAATAATAAATTTTAAACTTTCTCTCTTTTTGAGGAACATCAACTTAAGACAGGTGACTTGTAAAATGAATTTCAATCTTAATAACATGGATGCAATAGCTGTTTGTACTGCAAATAATCACCATTTCCTTCATACCTTGGTGCTTCCATTTCCTGTGACCAACACGTGGAACAGGTCTGTAATATAACTGCTAAGCATGTCCTGGTGGTCATTGGTCACTGTCATGTTTGTTAACAACCTCAGTCCAGCCAGTTGCACAGCAGAGTTCAGGGGGCCAGAGATGACATCCTCACAGACTTGACTGATGTATACCTGAAGATGGGGAAAATGGGATCTTCTTAGTAGAATCTCCAAAACTTTCCTATTAAACCGTAACTCTTGCACAGTGGAATCAGGTGATTGTTTAGGATGAAGCTGACTCTTTAAGAAAGATGGCATTTCTATCAAGATCTCAAACTTGGGTAACTTTTTGTAAGTTCCCTAATTAATAGCAGGCACTGAGCATTTTACAGATATACTCACTTCAGTCCTAAGACAACTAATGAGACAGTGGTATTATGGTCATTTTATAGACAAGGACTATAAACCCTTCAAGAAGCTCGGATTCTCCGCCCAATGTAATAAGAGAGTAGAGCAATGTCCAGACCCGGAGACCAGGCTCTCAGCACTAGTGGGGGGCCTCTCACTTGTTGGGGGCCTCCCAATTCTGTCTACCTTCCTGTGTCTGGGCATGTCAAGGTAAGGAGGAAGATCTGCGGGGACATTTTGTACCATAGTCTGTACCTGAACTGTAGGATCTAGGGGCACATCATGTTAGAAGTAAAGAACTGGAGGGGGACACTAAATAGAGCTTTTCTTCAGAGCTCTTTCTTTTATGAGTAAGCAGAGGCAAACTCTATTTGGTCCAAGCTTGTTATTTATGACGTATATGTAGATGAATTACTCCTTTATAATACTGTAAACCACCACTGGCTAAAAGTAATGCAATGCTAGTCGTATGTCCATGTCACACATGATAGATCTAGACTAAACCAAGGGAGACAGAAAATTTTCTGAAACTCTATTTTCTATGCCTGGCCACGAGCCTTCCAGCTTGAAAAAATTATGTCTCACAAGTAATTGGTATTCACCTAAGTTTGAACTTCATCAGAAGTTCTAATTGGTAAGAAAAATTCCCTAATATAAAATGCTAAGGAATTACCAACTGTCCCATAGCCAGTACTAACTTTAAAAAATTTCCAAATGTATTCATGTTACCACAGAAATGAAAATGATGGCAGTAAAGCAAACTGTGTAAGTAAAACAGATTAAATTCTTAATCTGGTTTCAAAATCCAAATTATATTTACAAATCAATCTGTCTTGGGTCACAATTTCATCATGCACCCATCCTTTAAAAAACGGCATTTCCTTAGCTTATTATAAATCACATATTTTCATAGGATGCTCCTATCCTTCCAAGCATTTCCTAAACTGTGCTGAGCATTTACATCCTTATTGCCTCTGAATCTTATCTTCACTTCAGTTCTAGCAAGAAGATTACCAAACAGGCCATCTCAGTTATTCCTGGAGTTTGCCTACCTCACCTTGTTCCTTTCTCTTGGGATTCCGTCATTCCTCAACTCCAGCTGTAGAAACCTTGGACAGTTTTATGAGCCACCTCAGGCTCTACCTTTTATAGAAACTTATGAATGAAAACTCTGCTTTCTGTGTATTCAACAATATTTTACTTGCATTTTCTCTTAAAGTATTTCATCATGTTCTGCCTTGAATTACAATTCTTTTTGGACTTTGCCTTATCCCTCTTTCTAGCTTTCTTACAAGAGTTAATCATGTTCATTTCTAAACTCTACAATACAAAGCACGAACTCAATAAAAGTTGAATTAATGTTATTTCCTAACTTATTGTATCTTTCTGCTGATATTATCTGACTTTGGCCTGGTTCCTTTTTCATACTTTGATTAAACTGAATATCAAATTCAAAAGTCCACTGTATTTCTTATTGGCTGGTTCAGGTGCCTTCCTCCTCTTATTCTGCATAAAAAAATGAGCAGAAGACCTGAATAGACATTTTCCCAAAGACATACAAATAGTCAATAGTTTATGAAAAGATGGTCAACATCACTAATCATCAGGGAAATGCAAATCAAAACCACAGTGAAATATCACCTCACACTTATTAGAATGGTTATTATCAAAAAGTCAAGAAGTAACAAGTATTGAAAGAAGAGAAAAAGGAACCCTTGTGTACTGTTGGTGGTTAGTGCAGCCACTATGGAAACCAGTATGGGTATTCTTCAAAAAATTAAAAATAGAACTGTCATATGGTCCAGCATCCCACTTTTGGGTATAGATCCAAAGGAAACAAAATCACTATCTCAAAGCAGTATCTGTACCCTCATGTTCATTGCAACATGGGTCACAATAGCCAAGACATAGAAATAGCCTAAATGTCAATATATGGACAAATGGATAAAGGAAATGTAAACTGTATATACAATGGAATAGTATTCACTATAAAAAAGGAAGGAAATTCTGCTATTTGTGAAAAATGGATGGACTGAGGGCATTATGCTAAGTGAAATAAGTCAGAGAAGACAAAAATCTTGTATGTGGAATATGAAAAAGTCAAACTCATAGAACAGAGAGTAGCATGTTCAGGTGAAGGAAAAGGGGAGATTCTGATCAAAGTATATAAACTTAAAAGTTATAAAATCAATATGTTCTGGGGTCTAATGTATAGCAAGATAACTATACGTCACAATATTATATTGTATACTTGTATGCTGAGAGGAGGTCTCAAATGTTCTCACCACACGTGCACATGCACAGGTAATTATGAGGTGTTAGAGGTGATAGCTACGGCTGTATAGTGCATGCATACTAAGTCGCTTCAGTCATGCCCAACTCTTTGTCACTCTATGGGCCATAGACCACCAGGTTCCTCTGTTAATGGGCTCCTCCAGGAAAGAATACTGAAGAGGGTTGCTGTGCCATCCTCCAGGGGATCTTTCCAACCTAGGGACTGAACCCGCGTTTGTTACGTCTACCTGCATTGGCAGGAAGGTTGTTTATCACTAGTACCACCTGCAAGCCCAAGGCTATGTGGTAGGGGTAATCATTTTGCAATATATACATGTATCAAATCATGTTTTATACCTTAAACTTATACAATGTTTATGTTGATTCTATCTCAATAAAGCCAGAAATAATAAATCTGGCTTTATAATAATAAATTCTTGGCTAAAAGCTATAAAGTATGGTCTACTAAAATTTCATTACTTACCTTTTTTTCCTCTCTCATTTATTAGAAAACCTTATCTTTTGTAATTTCAGGTAACTTACCTTTATCTTGATTTGATTTTCAACATTTACACTCAGGTTATTCAGTGCATTTAAAGCTTTCTCTTTAATACTCTGATTTGGATTGTTGATTTTGCTTCCAACGATTGGAATACCACCCAATTCACGAATAACGATCTAGGAGGAAAAAAACAGAACCATGACTTCAAATATGCAACCTCTCCTTTATTACATTCTTTGCATCTACAAATACAAATAAAAATTAATGATTCTTCGGAAATAATGTTCCCATATACAACCTCTGATTCTTATTTTTTTTAAAAAAAGTTTATTACACATAATTTTACAGCTAAAGAAACTGAAAATAAATTATTAATATATGTAATATTTAAACTATAGCAGAGATATACAATGAAGATTTGTAGAGCTACTGCAGTGATCTCAAAGTAATTTACAAACAAAATAATTTTACTTTGAAATAAGTTATCTCTCTCTCACAGGGCAATTTGCAAATACATTAAGATTTAGATCAAAACTAGTGTTTTGCTGAAACGAATACTTTGGAACACTAATTCCTCAAGATGTAAACAGATGTTCCATTTTTAAAAAGGATTTTTGGGACTTCTCTGGTGGTACAGTGAAGAGTCCACCTGCCAATGAGGGGGGTCACAGGTTCAATCCCTGGTCCGGGAAGATTCCACATGCCATGGAGCAACTACACCGCATGCTACAACTACTGATGTCCATGCATCTAGAGACTGCACTTCACAACAAGAGAAGCCACTGCAATGAAAAGCCCGTGTTCATAGCAGAGAAAACCCGCATGCAGCAACAAAAACCAAGTGCAACCAAAAGTCTCATTTAAAAAAGTAGGTTTCATAGATAAGTAAGTTTGAGAAACTCTGGTTATAACAAGAGTAAACATGTCTCTTTACTGTAATGCAATCTTATGGTCATGTGATCTGAATCTCCAAGAGGGGAGTATTGAATATTGTACTTCTATAAACTTTATCCAAAAAGATCATTTTTCAATTGTGGGAGGGGAGGAACACTTATTAACATCTTGAAGAACTGAAGTTCCACACAGTTTGGAAATGATGTCCAAATTTTCAAAGAAAAAATAATCTGGGGATTTCTCACAACCAACTACAACACTAAATATTATGTGCCTTCATCCCAACATTGAAAGAGGCATAATGCTTCATTTCCTACAAGAAAAATAAGCTGAAAATGACTCCTGTCAGGTCAAAACATGCTGTTCTATCAAGAAAAGAGATAAAGGAGCTTTCCCTCTGCAATTTCAGGTTCCTCCTAAGGACTTGTGGTTACTAGGAGACGGTCTTAAAAAAACAAACAAAAAGCAAAAAACTGTACTATAAAAGCAGATGACGGCACCATTACTGATGACAAGGGCCACCAACTCCTATTACCCAAGAAACTGCTTGTTCACCAGTGGCTTCTCACCCACTCTGACTACAGTTTGTTTCAAAGGAATATAAAACTATGGCATCAGATATACCCTCCATACAGGCATGCTAATAAGCTAGTCATCATCTGTTATTTTTGTCTGCCTGGCAGCCCTCTTTCTCCTGGGACAGACACAGTACCTCCTCCACCCCATACAGTTCCTGGTGAGACTGCTGGTCAACTGTGTTCACACCCTCCCTGCTGTTTCTGTCTGCGGGTGAGCCAGGACCTGCTAATCATGGCCCAGGTCAGCCCAACAATTGGGCCAAAGGGTTGGCACTTGATACTAGTAGAGTAACTCCACTTTTTAGATCATGAGGGTCAAAGATGAAAGCTTGAGAGGCCAGTGGCTTTCTTTCCATCTCTGTGAATAAAACCTCTTTGTGGCCAGAGAGACAAAAATTGTTACACAAAAAGAAGTAGGGACAAGCAGTCAAATGACAGTGAAAGAGAGAGAGAGGTCTGATAATGCTTTCTGTAACTTTGATCTCTATTCACACTTCTGTCTGAAACCAAAGCTATCCTTGGACATCCAAGTTAACTGAGCTCAGTATTTTTCCCTTTCATTTTAAAATAACCTAAGTTGGGGTCTGTCACTTATAATGGAAATGTACATAATACACACATATTCCTTATATCTCCCTATAAATCTCTAGAGCTAACCTTGACATGGATAAAGATGGACTGAAATGAAGTATAAATTCAAAATTCTGCATTCATGACAAGGTTAACAAAGGGCATTAGCTGAAAATAATGACAAAAACTGTTTTACTCTTTCTCCATGGGAGGCTGGGGGGAAGCAGAAGCCATTTACATTTACACTGGTCCATGGTTGTCAGAGTGTGGTCCAGGGAGCACCTGCTTCAGAACCATCCTTGTCAGCCCTTTGCACAATGTCAAGCATGTACTTAAATGTCAGATGCTTCTGTTGCTCTACTGCAGCACTGCTGAGTTTTGAATAATTAGAAAGGCCATGCAATAATACTAAGTGTTGATTAGATACACTTAGTACAAACGTGATGCTGGTGACCAACTTCATAGATACATACAATCTGATCACTAATCGTATTACTATTAGGCTATGCTTTTTAGAAGTAAACAAACATTATTTTGTAGATATCCATAACCACAGTATATATAGATGAAAAAACGGAGGCTCTGGGAGGTTAAGTAACTTGTCAGAGTCACAGTTACTGCCGGTGTGTGAGAATGGGAGGAACACGTTCACGGAGACTAGGGTGCTCACCTGGTTGGCTGAAAAGGCTGCACTGTTACCCAGAGTGACCAAAGCTCGTTCGATAATGACAGGATCCTCAGTTGATTCAAGCAGGTAAAGGAGCTTCTGAACTTGTTCAGCATTTAGGGTGTCATCATATGATCCACTGGTTAAGTCTTCTACATAAGAATAAAGTTATTTAAAGTTCATTTAAAATCAATATAAGACTTAAAGGGACAATCCTGAATCATATTCTGATGCCAGGCACAGTTTTGAGCACTTTATATACCTTAACTCATTTCATCGTCAAATGATCCCTTAGAAGATACTATTATGATTCCCAATTTACAGATGGAATACTGAGCCTTATAGGTATTAAGAAATTAGGCGATGGTCTTGGTACTTTTCTTTTAGTAAGGCACTGCATGCCAACAGCATTTTCTGTTTCCTCTTTCTAAAAATCACGTACACCCATCCAGTGGAACACTTCCCATAGGCATAGCTTCATTAAGAAACAGAATTTGCATTTGGGAGAACTGCTCCGATCACAGGCCAGAGGAAAAGCCATGCGAGGGACCCAATCATGCTGCTACTGAGGTCCTTTTGTTCAGTTTCTATAAGCAAGGCATGACGACTGTGATGCCAGAAGAACAGTCCAACTGGGGCTGATGACAGAAGCTGTCATTCTAAGGAAAAGAGCAAGCAGTCAAATGCTGGATATGCTTAGGAAGTTCTGAAGTTTAAAGCTTGGACCTTTTAAAAAGTCCTTTACAGAAATCTCCACAGGAAAACAGAAACCATTTGTATAATGTAGTCACTGTGTTATAAACACAGAACATGATTCTTTCCAAATTAAGCTATGAATACAGGTCAGACAGCACAACAGTCCACAATACATTGCCCTCCATGGAGTTGTGGCTGGGGGCGGGGTGTTGCAATTTACAATAGGTGCTGCTATATGATGTCATAGCTGTGCTCATCTATATGCTGATGACTCCTCAATCCTAATCCCGAAGTTAAAACTCCATTTCTGGAGCTTAATTTATAGAAATCAATTTACTAACTGGCACTTCAATTTAGGTACCTTAAAGACACCTCAAACTAACTGTACTCTATCCTGAATACATCGCCTTCCCATACAAGTCTACTAGGCTTCAAAATCTCTATCTCACTGAATGAGACCACTATCTACCTGGTTTCCCAAACCAAGGGCATCTCTGCTTTATACTTCTCTCTCACCACCCACAATAATTCATCAAATCCTAAAAAATAAAATGTGTCTCAAATTATTAAACTTATCATCTTTGGATCCTGGGATTACGTGTGACTTATTTTCTACCCCGTGCTCATGAGTACTTTCTTGTTTTTTCTTTTTCTTTTCTTTTCCTTTTTTTTTTTTTTTTTTACAATAAACACATAGTATTATATTAAGATAGAATATATTGCTTAAAGAGGAATCACAGACAAATATGAGGTAAATGGACAAGCTTAGATTATGAGAACCAATAGGTGATCTGATGTCCTGAAGAAGCCAAATAAGAAATCAACTATTAGGAAAATCTAAAAGCTAAAGAGGGAGCAGATTCTTACTCCCATGTCTTATAATCAGAACCTCTGGATCATGCTTTTTACTCCTGAACCCACTACCCACCTCATTTACAGCTTACACAAGTATTTCACCCAAACAATATTTGAAAAGGTAAGTGAAAGAATGATAAAAACACAGATTGTCATATAGAAAGACTTTTGGAGGTTCATCCAAAAGTGTTTTTACCCACAAGAAAACTGAGATCAGGATCATTTAAGGATTTGCCTAACATCACACAGGAGTCAGTAGCAGAGACCAGAGAAATGAAAGCACAAAGCTGCAGGCAACCACCTAACCTCTTTCAGGTCAGTTTTCTCATATGTAAAATAAGGCTCGTCAAACACCACAGTGATTCCAGAAGTCCCTATGCAGCCCTAAAGTTGTGTAATTTTATACATACACACATGGCATAAAAAGGATACATTTAACTCATTCATACCTCCAAACCATTTCAAAGTCTATAACTTCCTCACACATTTTCCCACAAACAATTAAAAAGTTTTATAGATATAAGTAGATAGATAAATTAATAGATAGATAAATTACTTATAGATAAATTATTAATGAATAGCCAAATAAAATTTTATAGAGAAAAGGGTTAAAGCATAGAATTTTCTCTTGAAAGAAGGAGATGTAATGTGGTAGTTAAAAGTAAGCCTAGTTAACTATTAACTATTTGAACTAGTTAAGTCTAGTTCAAATTCCAGCTAAGCTGTTTACCAGCTGATAGACATAACCTCTCGAAGCCTCAGTTTCTTCAGCTATTCCAAGGGAGTTAACAGGGCAAAGAACAGGAAGACAATAGAATGGGATAGACTAGAGAGCTCATCAAAAAAAATTGGAGTTATCAAAGGAACATTTCATACAAGGATGGGCACGATAAAGAACAGGAACAGTAAGGACCTAACAGAAGCAGAAGAGATTAAGAAGAGGTGTCAAGAATACACAGAAGAACTGTACAAAAAAGCTCTTAATGACCTGGGTAACCATGATGGTGTGGTCACTCACCTAGAGCAAGACATCCTGTAGTGTGAAGTGAAGCGGAAATAGGAAGCATTATTGCAAACCAAGCTAGTGGAGGTGATGAAATTCCAGTGGAGCTATTTCAAATCCTAAAAGATGATGCTGTTAAAATACTGCACTCAATATGCCAGTGAATTTGGAAAACTCAGCAGTGGCCATAGGACTGGAAAATGTTAGTTTTCATTCCAATTCCAAAGAAGGGCAGTGTCAAAGAATGTTCAAACTACCAGACAACTATGCTTATTTCACATGCTAGTAAGCTTATGCTCAAAATCCTTCAAGCCAGGCTTCAGCAGTACATGAACTGAGAACTTTCAGATGTACCCATTTCTAAAGCTGGGTTTAGAAAAGGCAGAAGGACGAGAGATCAAATTGCCAGTATTCACTGGATAATAGAGAAAACATGAGAATTCAAAAGAAAAAAAAATCTAACTTTTGCTTCATTGACTATGATAAAGCCTTTGGCTGTGTAGGATCACAACTGTGAAAAATTCTTAAAGGGATAGGAATACCAGACCACCTAACTGTCTCCTGAGAAACCTGTATTCAGGTCAAGAAGCAACAGTTAGAACCTTATATGGAACAATGGCCTGGTTCCAAATTGAGAAAGGAGTACAGAAAGGCTGTATACTGTCACCCTGTTTATTTAACTTCTATGCAGAGTACATCATGTGAAATGCCAGGCTGGATGAATCACAAACTGGAATTAAGATTGTCCAGATAAATATCAACAATCTCAGATACACAGATGATATCACACTAATGGCAGAAAGCAAAGAGGAACTAAAGAGTCTCTTGATGAGGGTGAAAGAGGAGAGTGAAAAAGCTGGCTTAAAACAACATTCAAAAAACAGATCATGGCATCCAGTCCCATCACTTCATGGCAAACAGAAAAGGAAAAAGTAGAAGCAGTGACAGATTTTATTTTCTTGGGCTCCAAAATCACTGCAGATGGTGACTGCAGCCATGAAATTAAAAGATGCTTGTTTCTTGGAAGGAAAGTTATAACAAACTTAGATAGCATATTAAAAAACAAAGACATCACTTTGCCTACAAAGGTCTGTCTAGTCAGTTATGGTTTTTCCAATAGTCGTGTACAGATATGAGTGTTGGACCATAAAGAAGGCTGGGTGCCAAAGAAATGATGCTTTTAAACTGTGGTGCTGCAGAAGACTCTTGAGAGTCTCTTGGCCTGCAAGAAGATCAAACCAGTTAATCCTAAAGGAAATCAACCCTGAATATTCATTGGAAGGATTGATGCTGAAGCTCCAATACTTTGGCCATCTGATGCAAAGAGTCGACTCATTAGAAAAGACCCTGATGCTGGGAAAGATTGAAAGCAAAAGGAGAAGAGGGTGGCAGAGGATGAGATGGTTAAACAGCAACATCGACTCAATGGACATGAATCTGAGCAAACTCTGTGAGATGGTGAACAACAGGGAACACAGAATACTGCAGTCCATGTGGTTGCAGAGAGTCAGACGTGACTTAGTGACTGAATAACAGTGCCAACCTTAAAGCATTTTTATGTCTCTTAATACGTATCCAAGAGTGGAATTGCTGGATCATATGGTAGTCTCACTTTTAGTTTTATGAGAAAATTCCACACTGTTTTTGACAGTGGCGGCACCAATTTACACTCTCACTAACGGTGTATAATGATTCCCTTTTCTCACATCCTCACCAGCATCTGTTATTTGTGACCTTTTTGAAGACAGCCATACTGACAAGTGTGAGATGATATATCATTGTGGTTTTAATTGGCATCTCTCTAATAATTAGCAATGTTGAGTATCTTTTCATGTGCCTGCTGCCCAATTAAGTGGGAGATGGGCTCAAATGAATAAAATCACAAATGAAAAAGAAGTTACAACTGACATCACAGAAAAACAAAGGATCATAAGAGACTACTACTAGTAACTATATGCCAATAAAATGGACAACCTCTTGGAAAGGTACCATGTCCCGAGACTGAACCAGGAAGAAACAGAAAATATGAATAGACCAATCACAAGTACCGAAATTGCAACTGTGATTAAAAAGCTCCCAAGAAACTAAAGTCCAGAACCAGATGGCTTCATAAGCAAATTCTACCAAGTGGGATTTATCCCAGGGATGCAAGGATTCCTCAACATACACAAATCAATGTGATATACCACTTCAACAAACTGACTAATAAAAAACATTATGACCATCTCAATAGATGAAGAAAAAGCTTTTGACAAAATTCAATACCTGTGATTATTAAAAAAAGAAAAAAACTCTCTAGAAAGGGGGCAGAGAGGGAAACTCCCCCACCCATTTATATTTAGGATGGGCTCACTTACATCTGACTCTTTGCAACCCCATGGACTACAGCCTACCCAGCTCCTCTGTCCATGGAATTTTCCAGGCAAGAATACCAGAGTGGGTTGCCATTTCCTACTCCAGGGGATCTTCCCGACCTAGGGATTGAACCTGTGTCTCTTCTGTCTCCTGCATTGGCAGGTGGATTCTTTACCACTGCACCACCTAGGAAGCCCAACATAATAAAGGCCACATATGACAAGTTCACAGTAAACATCATTC